ATGATAAGTTTATATTCAAAAATGTAATTACAAGTATATATTATATAATTATTTATTCTAACTTAATTTAATATTACCACTAATAGTACAATGATCAATTATTATTCTAAGAAAATAAAAGGAATTTTGGATGATTTATTAGATTTATTTAGTGATATCAAACTTGGCAGAATTCATATAACAGATGATTTTTAATACATTTCTTCCTAATATTTACTTAAAACTGAAAAAAGTTTTTGTTTTAGATGGGAAGATCTATCTTTTATGATATACGAGGTATCCAAATCAAAAATTTGGTGTTTTGGCTAATATTAGTTCTTCTAAGATTCCTTCAAAGTTTGAATATCAACAAGTTAGATATATGATAGATTTTTTGTATTGTGTAAAGGTTAGTAGTGTTATCAAATCTTATAATACTGTATAAAATTGTTTAAACAAATTAAAATTTTCTTAGATTATAGTGTGAGATTTTATTAAACAAATTTGAAAAATTAAGAAAGAAATACAAAGAATAAATGAGTACCAAAATGAAGAATTTTATAGCAAAGGTAAATTTTCATTGTAAAATATTCTTACTACTCTGGCCACACCTTTACACAAAGGATAAATATTTTTTTCCAGATTAAAAACTCAGATTAAATACTTTGTATAAGGCTTGATTTATTTGATTATAATTTTGTTTTATTTCATTAAAATTGAATTAAATAAAAGAAATAAATTGTTAAATATTCAAAGAGCTAATAAATAAACAATGGATATGTAAATGTAAAGAAATTTTTTTACAATTTCATATGAGAGTAATGTATAAAGGTTTATTTTTTATCTCAACAATACAACTATTTTGTTACTCTTTTTAAGAATTCAAAAATTATTAATATCAAACTATACCTCTTTTAGACCTAACCTTAATTTTTTTACTTGATTTTTGAACTCCTACAGCCTTCATGGCTGTAGGAGTTCAATTTATTTTAACATTAAGAAATTTAATTAAAAAGAAAAAGAAATCTAGAAATTAACTCTCAGGTTCAAGATTAGATTGCAAAGACAGCAAAGAAGATATTTTTTTTTATTATCATTATAATTACTGACTGAATTGGACTATATATTAAATTTTAAAGTAGAATTTATTAGCTAATACATGTCATATAAAAGTTCATCATTTTAAATTTGTCCTTTGTTATTTTAAAGTCAAATTTTAATGCTAAAATTTAAGCCTATAAATTTTATTTTATTTTGAACTTTTATACTAACAAGATATTAAAGAATACAGTTAAAAATTGCATCTTATGTTAGGCATAATTTAATAATTTTTTTCACAGAACATTTGAGAGATTTAAAAGATTTTTTCATTTTAGTATAGTTTATACAACCTTTAGTTATAAAATTTATGCCTTCTGAAAAATGATAAATGTTTCAATAATTTATCTTTGCATGAAAACAGCTTATAAAACAAGTACTATAGCAAGAATTTTAGTATATAGCAAAGTAACAACATAGCAAATCTAATTAAAATCTTGTTAAAGCCAGTCTATATGCAGTAAAAAAAATTTATTAATTAAATACTAATGAAGCAACTTGTATTTTGGCTAATCATATTTAAGCAGCATAGGATAAGAGTTTATATCCCTGTATATAAGATAAAAATCTCTATTCCAGGTACAGAATAAAGATGCTCATTATTGATCATGTGAATCATATAATTTATTAACAAGGAATTTACATCTTGTGTTGTTTAATTGTTTTAATTTGTGACACCTGTCATTCTTCATTTCAAATCGAGAGATCAAAAAAAATTTATAAAAAATATAATAAAATTTTCTAAAAATTATTAAAATTTAATAATAATATTGATAATCCCATAATTCAATATATGGGTTGAGTCAATAGAAATACACCAAATCTCTTTTGGTGAAGTATTTTTGCAATTTTAATAAAGATTACTTGACAAGAATTTATTCAAATTTAATAAAAATTTTTTTAAATAATTCAAAAAAATTTGAATAAATTCTTGTTAAATAATTTTTATTAAAATTGCAAAATACTTCTCTAAAACAGATTTGGTGCATTTCTATTGATTCTTCCTATATTTTTGATTTAAAAAGTACATTTTTGTCTGATCTTAGTCGAGGCCCTTTCTCTATGAATCTGGTATACTTTTATTTGTATCTGAATCATATACTTTGCATAATCCTAGTTGAGGCCCATTTATTCATAAATTTTGCATATTTTATATTCAAAAATTATATTCTTTGCTTGAGTTCTAGTCAAGACTCATTTCTCTATAGATCAGGCATACTTATGATTTTTTAGGATATTTTCATATTTATCTGAAATAGAATCAAATAAAAATTTAAAATTATATTGATCTTAGTAATTAATTTTTTTGCTTTTTTTAGGTAAAAAAAAAAATTTATATATGAGAACCTTTACAGCAAAAAGTGTCAATAGGGAGTTTTAAATTTTGATCTTTAAATAAATATAACTTATAGTCTAGCAATTAAAATCAAATAAATTCTAATTCATCTCACTAAGATGAATCTAATATTATAGAATTTATTTAATTCTAATTACTAAACCATAAGATATATTTATTTAAAGATCAAAATTTAAAACTGCCTACTGACACTTATTGCTATAGAGGTTCTTATGTCTTTAACTAGAAAGATAATGTATTTATTTCATTAAGACATACAAAAATAGATAATGAAAAAATAATAATTTTTTTAAGACTTTAATTAATCTTTATTAGAACATTATCTAAAAACACAACTAATTTAAAAAATTTTTATATATATAAAATTTTTTTTTAATTTTAATTTGTCAAAAAAGTAACCTGACTAGATTATAATAAACTCAGTAAAATTTATTGATTTTTAATATAAAATTTATACCCAAATTATCTTTTAAAAATTACAGTTTAATCATGATTATATAATAAAAAAAAGGATACATAATGATAAATTTAACCTAATAGTTTTGGACAGTACTAGCCAATTAAAGCTAAAATTTATCTATAATGACTAAAACCAAATGAAAAACAGATCAAAAATTAATATTAAAAGTTCCAGTATTTTTAGTAATAAGTAAGTCATTTTCAGAATTATTACTATAATTATCACTATCTTGATTCTCAACTAGCATAGCATCTATAGTCATTAGCTTTTTTAAATTATATTTAATAGAATTGCTAATTATTATCAATTTTTAATAAATGAAATTAAAAAACATTTATTAGGTTTGTGTACTGGTAATTCAATTTTTGCCAATTTTTCTAGATGAAATAATGGATCAAACTTCCTTTTTAATATATAAACAACTAAGGAAGTACCTAAATAAAAAAATGAAATATATTAATCTAACCAAATTATTATTATTATAATTAAAGTCTTTATCATAAATATGAAAAGCAAATAATTTCAATTTATTCAAAAATTTTAAAATTAAGTTAAATATGCTTTGATTCTTGCATTTATAATATATATAATCTCAAGAATCTTTGCAAAATTTTCTTATTCATTTTTAATTTTCTAAAATATAGTTTTTAGCAGTATTACTGTTAATATTAATAAAAGAACCTTCTGATATTTTAAGATATAAAAATTCATATCATAAATTTTTTATATTCTTACTCTTTAAAAACCAAAAATTATCTGGACATCTTCTAGGGCTATTATTCTAATTATTTTAATGTTTTGTTGCAACACTTTCAACACTGTTACTGTATTGATATAAATAAGCTAAATAATAAGAAAATTTAATTATGTCTTCTCAAATCAACTTATAAAGCAGTTTGAAAAATATGAATTGTATTATCTTTTAAAAAGTCAACAAGATGGATAATAAACTGATATGAAAACATAGATTCAGTTATTAAACTATCTAAATTCTTATATAAACAATCATTCCAAATATTTTGTCTTAAAAAAATAAAAAAGTATATTAATATAACAATTAAATTAAATAAACTTATGTTACTGTAATTATTATTATTAGTGTATTATTACCTGACAATAATATGATAATAGTTATTATATATCGATATGTATATACTATTATTAAGGATGCTCAAATTGAATTCTCAAATTCAATAATTTGAATTCTTATAAAAAAGTTTATGATAATAATTAACTTTTTACAAAACAATTTTAATTATTTGATATATTTAATAAATCTATCTCCATTATTATCTATGTAATATCAAATAATGAAAAATATTTTAATAGATGTATATGTAGTAGAATACTAGATAAATAAAGCTATTCACATACAATTTGTTAATAAAGATATGAATTAAATCAAATTTCTTTGTTTCATTATTATTAAAAAGTAGAATTCTAACAAATTCTTGCTTCAAATAATTTAAGATAAAATCTTTATATTTTGGAAATAAATTAATCTTTTTAAATGATTGAAGACAAAAATTTAACTCCTATAGATTTGCTTTTTTTAATTTGTTATATATTAATTCTTGTTTTTTTTTAATTTCTTCATTGTATAGAATTCTTGATAAAATAAAGAAGCCTTCTTTTTGTCAAAAAATATGCTAATTATTTGACTACTTCTGAAATATTTTTTACATATTTTAACTGTTTTATCTTAGTATATTATTTTGAATAAATAATATATAATTAATAGACTTACATTAGAAATTTAATTCCTTATAATATTACCTTCTAGCTCATAATTTGTTATATCTTGATACACTTTGAACAGATTTTTTTGTTTAGAATATTTCTTAACTAATTTAGTATAAATAATATAAAACTTTGCTTTATAATATTTATACAAACTATCAAATAGCTTATAATATTTATCTTCTATAATTTTATTCAACTGTATAGTTTAAAATTAGTTACATCAACTAGATTTTTTTTTAAAAACCTCATTTTATACTTACTTTGCCCTTAAAATGAACAAAGTATTGCTTCTTTATCATTTTTGAAATTTTTGAATTATTGAAATCCACATTATTGTGAATATAGCAATAAACAAAAAATTGTTCTAAACTGTGTTTTTTTTTGAATATTGGTAAAATTTTTGTATTTTTTTATCAACTTTTTATACTTTCTATGGTAAAGTAAAAAAAATTATGAAAAAATTAAAATATTACTGTTACAATTTTATATTTATGCATAGCAATAGATTGATAATGCATAAAATAATTCCATAATTGCTTGTCAATTTATATATAATTTTTTATAACTAATTTAATTTAAAGTATAAATAACACTAACCTGTAATTTTCTAAGTGTAAACATTTTTTTTACTTTTATACTTATAAAAGAGTAAAAGCTATTTTTAAAAATTATCTTCTTTTAATAAATATATTAGCTAATCATAGTTAATCAGATGTTCAAATCATAATACTGATACCACAACAAGCTTTAAAAGTAATGTTTTACTGTTTCTAAAAAGAATAAAATATTTTAATGTTAATATTAAAAACACATTCTTATATAATGTGAATAATAAAAAATCTATTGACCTATCTTACTTTTTGTTTAAGTTCATTGATAACATTGATTTTGCTCAAAAATTGATATCTGAATTTTCTGAAATTAAACTCCAATTCTGCCCAAACTTTATATTCTAATTTTGCTAAATTTATATTGTAATTTTGCCTAAATTTATACAGTATTTTAATTCTGCCTAAATTTATATTTTAATTTTGCCCAAATTTATACTCTATTTTTACAAAATTCAAATTCTACCCAAATTAAATCTTAATTCTGCCAAAATTTTTACCTTAATTTGCCCAAATTTACATTTCAATTCAGCCTAAATTAAACTCTAGTTCAGTCAAAATTTATAATTCGATTATAAATTTGGACAGAATACTAGAAGAAATAATAATTGTAACAGTATTATTAATATTTTTAACGAAAATTTTGGGGCTCTAATAAAAAATTCTTTGCATATATCTAATGCCTAGATAAAACTCCAAATAATATAAAAAGTGCAGAAAAGGAGAATAAATGAAATAAATTAGTAAATAATAATATATAATTGGTTTTCTATATAATGATCAGGGGATTCTTAATACAGAATTTCGCAAGAAAAACTTTTTGTTAGTGTGAAGAAGGCAGTTTAATAGGCATGATGTTGAGATATGAATGATTTTTTAGATTGGTTTAATTTTTTACATTTCTTCTACATTATACCTGATTTTGAAATCTGATTGGCAAGACCTGCGGGTCGATAGCGAAGTGGTTACGCTTCTAGGTCACCAATCATAAGGTTGCCGGTTCAAGTCCAACAGAGGACAAAAACTGAGTTAGGACCACAATTGTTAATTAACCACATCAGATGACGTCTTATGAAATTAGGAAGATCTTTGGTATCTAGATCCTTAAATGGCGACAGATCTGACATAAGAAGGCCGTGATGATTAGGGGGCTGAGGATAAAAATAGAACAAAGAAATCCCCGATTAGGACAATCTTGATGAAATTCCAGGGTAATAGGATCACAAATTGAATATAGATAGTACTGTAAATATACACAAACTAAAATGTAAAAATGTAGATAGGGTTCTGATAGAAGGTCCTGTGAACTTGAAATTTGAACTAATAAAACAGCTGCCAGCTGCAAACCACTAGTGATCAAGCAGTGGAAATAAAAAAAAAATAAAAAAAATCTGATTGGCCAGCGAAATTTTTTAGATAAGGTGGTTATACTAGGGTTGTTTGATATAATTTAAACAGTTGGCCTGTATTAAGTTAATTTAAGTCAATGATCTTTAAAATTATGAAAATTATTTTTTAATGACCACCCTGGATGATTTGGATTTTAACAATTTTAAATTTGTTAAAATCATCTTATTGAGACAATTAAATTATCTAAAATGGACAGTAGATTAAAAGTTATTAATAATTCAAAAAATCAGCCCATATGCATAATCAATTTTCCTGCTATTGATATACAGTAGCCTCCTACAGGAAGACATGTCTGCTAATCTTTATTAATGTTTTATAATATGTGTACACAATAATGTATATATTTGTAAAAGAATATGTCTTATTTAATAAATTTAACAAAAAAAAATAAAAATAATAAAAAAATAATTGTTCAATAATGTTTAATTTTAAGATTGTTTAATACTTTCATGCTTCATTTTTTGGCTTCGTAGATTTGTAGTAGTACTTAACATCATAATTGTTGGTGAGGTTTATGGTGAATCCTCTATTGACATTTTGTAGCTCTTTTCCTTGAGTAGTATTGAAACATGTCATGTTTCTAGAAACTGGAATTGGTTGCAAGGTGTTTCAATCGACAAATGTGATGGTTGGTTTGAAGGTGTAAGGGTCATTATCTGGACTGATAGGTTGTAGAAGGATGTTAGCTGATAATGTGTAATTCTCGAACTCAACATTTAAGCTTTCATTATGTTGAAAATTCGCATAATTTTGGTTTGATGATGATGATACATCATGGATGTCAACTGTTACATGTGCTTGAACAGAATCATCAGGAATACTGGCTATCATTCAAAGAAATTTTGTTTTTTCAAAAGGTATTTTTACTGATGATTGTTATAAATAACTCTCAAAAATCATCCAAAGAAGATTAATTCCAATAACCAAACTGGCAAATTCTTTTTTTGAGTTGATAATGATCACAATAAGATAGCAATATAGTATAAACATTAGCACAAACCCATAGAAAAGTGGTATAATGTATTTATTTGTTAGTGATTTGAATGATTGGATGATTTTTTGTAATTCATCACATAATTTTTTGACTTGATTTATGGAAAAGCTAGTTTTACAACTTTTGTCTATGAGTATTTTATTTGGATCAAAGTATTCAACTTTAAATTTTGTTCTGAATATTTTCTTTAGAAGCAGAAAAGTGTTTCCAATAAAACTAAAATTTAAGCTGCCTTCACCAAAAATCCATTAGAGATTAATGTGTTTTGGAATTATAAAATTAGTAATGTGTACGAAAAGAATTAAATCAAGAAATATATTGAAATTTGCGATTGATAAATAAAATTTATTTGAATTATTTTTTGATTTGAATTTGTTTATACATTTTTCAAAGATAGTTTTTAGTAAAAATATTTCAAATTTGATTAATAAAGTGGAGACCATTGCTGATTCAACTGAATCATTAACCTTAAAGTTCTTTCTTATGCTAAATGTCTCTTGGGCATTTTGTATTCTTTTGATTGCTGCCTTACTGGCTAAATATATTTTACTTTTGTATAGCATAGGACTACTAATAGAGCTATCCAGATCACATCTAACTTAGCACAGGTTGAAGAGAGCCAGTCAACTATTCTACTTCCAAAACTAATATTACTACTCCTATTTACTTTGTCAACTATAACCCATCTTATACCCATCTTCTTCTTCTTATTGCTACTTGCATCTTCTACTGCTAATGACCTATCTATATATATTTCTACTACTTTCTTATCTTTAATTCTACTTGTAATATTTATTAACTCCTCTTGGATTACTTCATTCTTGACTACTCTCTGAATTAAAGCTTCCTCTAAACTTAGAATATTTATTTCTACATCCTTTACACTTATGTCTTCCTCTTTATTAAGCACTTCTCTAGTTTTCATATATGCTGATGCCAGGCTTGTTAAGCTTATTTTTTCTTCTCTTCTATATACCTTTTCTACTACTTGGTGTTAGCTTTCTTTTTTCTGTCTAATTATACAGCTTTGGTCATTATGCTTTTCTATTGTTTACCCTCTGCATTTGCTTAAGACTGTGTCAAAGTTGCCACTTTTCTCTTTAGCTAACCAATGCTTCAGAAGTATGTACTTGTGTTCTTTTTTGTATACTCTTTTATATTCAAACTGTTTTTTGTTCTCAAATATAATCCATTCCTTCTTTCTTTTATCTGATAATATCTTTGCTTTTCTGTACTTGATTGTATTTTGGTTTAATCCTTTAATGCAAAGTTCTTCTTTAAGTTTTCTTGTCTCTACATTTTCTATTACCTTTTTTTCAATATGTTTAAACTAATTTGGCTTTCGGCCCCTTCCTTTATACCTTCTTATGACTCTTACTTGTTGCTATGTTAGGAGTATGTCTTCTTCTGTGTTCAGTTATTCAAATACAAAAATATTTATATTATTACTACTTCTGTATCTATTTGCTTTCTTAGACTCTAGCAAACTCAAAATGCTAGTACCTAAGACTTCTAAAATACTTTTATAAACACTATTTTTCTGAAAGCTAAAGCCTAGTTTCTTTCCTTCAAGAATTACTTTATACACCAAATTGTATTTGAGTCCTGTATCTTCTAGTTTGCAGTTCTTACTAAGAATATTGTCTGTGTATATGTCTGCAAGTTGTGCCTTCTTAATTCTTAATCTAGTAGTAATTCCTACTTCATTCTGCTTGTTCATATGAATTGTTAATTTAGTAATATGATGTGCTAGCTAGTTTTGCCAGACTGTGTACAACCCTAGCATCTTTAGGTAACAGTATAAACTATTTGGTACTGATTTGGCTAAATCTAATTTGTTTTTAATCAGTATTCATATGGGATGTTGTAAGCATTCAAAGGAGAACTTTGAGAGGAATGAGAGTTATAATCTATATTCAATACTTGGCATTAGCATATTATTATTAAGATATACTAGCTGGCTTACTGATGCTTTCTTCTATCGAATAGCTTTGCACATTCTTTCAACTTCTTTCATAACAATATGTTTATTGTACTCTTTATTATTTTTTACTAATACCCAAACACCTAGATGCCTAATAGCTTCTTTTTTGCTTTTTGCTTTCACTTTTTTTTTCTGCCTGCCTATTAGGTAGAGATGAGAATTGATTTTGAAATCAAAATCAATTTTATAATTAGATAACTTAACCGATTAATCTGATAAAAAAATTAACTAATTGATATAAACTTTTTAAAATAGATTTATTTAAGTTAATTAGGCATCTTTGATTAAAATATATTATGTTATGAATATTATTTTATCATTTTCTAACAGA